ATCCCCATTGAGTCATATGAAAAAGAGAAGACATTCAGCGAAGAGACTCTTTTCGGCGAATTCCTGCTCGTGTGGAGCCGGGTATGTCGGCCGTACCCAGCGCTCGCTTTCCAAACGTATCACCGAGCACTTACCAGCATGGTTTTACAAAGGAGAAAATCGATGCCCCGGCAGTTCCATCTTAGAACATCTGATAGAATCCGGACACCAAGCCACACCGCAAACAAACTTCAAAGTCGTCTACAGAGTAAGAAGTAGTCTCCCTAAAGGTGTACGAATCAGACTTCTTCAAACTGCAGAAGCAATGGCGATTCACTTGCTAAGTCCTGAACTCTGCATACAGAAGAAGTTCGTTCAATCACTACACTTGCAATGGACGTAATCTATCTTATTAGCCGACATGTAAATTCTACCTAATCTTTTCTTCTGTCTCTTCATTAGTATTATTTTGTCTTCTCAATTGTAACATTTTACATTTTCAACTTTCTTGTTCTCTACCCCCACCCGATTCAATCTCTACACCCCACTACCACTGTTACTGACTTGAACAATGCTCAGTTTCTAATCATTCATGTTACGTCATCCAACTTATTCACTCAATTTCACTTCTACTTAATCTCTACCTGTAATTACCTCTGTTGCTATCCTGACCTAAGTTGTAACATTTTAGCCAATTATATTACGTCATCTAGTTTTTTAACTCAGTCTTACTTTAGTTGCTGTCTGATTAACTTTGTCTCTATACTACATCATTCTTGTATTAACTAATCAATTATCTAAACTTGACAAACCTCATGTACACACACACACACACAAATATTTATATATAAATGCGATTGTACAGCTATGTGAATGAATTCGTCGAAAAGAGTCTCTTCGCTGAATGTCTTCTTTTTTTCAAATTACCAGTTGCCAATTTCATATGTGTGTCTGTTGTTTACAGACTCGTCGGGAATATCAGGCTTTTAGGCTAGCCAGCTCTAATTGTATCTACCCATTCAACTACGCTCTCCTGTGATGTGGAGCGAGTTATATTGGCTGTCGCTCTAGGAACTTGGTTTTTTTTTCGTGCTCGCTTGGGAACATCTACCAGTGTGGTTAAATAAAGGTGTAGTAAAGACCATAAACAGTTCGATATTAGACCACCTGGTCCAAACGGAACACAAAGCCAGTATTGACGAATGCTTCTGTATCATCTATCGGGTACCAAACAAATTACCAAGAACATCCAAATACCGCACAGGCTATCGCGATTCGCGTGAAACAACCAATGCTTTGTATGCAACAGAAGCAAGTTCAAACAGCCACTTCTACTGCCCTGGCCGACTATCAGTAGAAACTATAAACTCATGAATTTGTAATATTATCTTTCCTAATTTTTCTGACATTCAGCTTACTTTATGTTGATACTGTTGAACTGTAATCTATTGATATTATTGATTCGATGTTATTGAAACAACATTAATGTTGTTAATAAGACTGATTCATTTATTCACTATTATGGATGGATATGTAACTGTAGAGTCTGATGAATAAGGCGTTATCGAAAAGAATATTCTTTGTTCAGTAAACACTCGTTTAGAAATTCCCTCGCATTTTTGACATATCGGTTCTCTAAGATTTTTACGTTCCCCCAGTCGAATTGGTATTCGTGGTGGTTTGTATCCAATAATATGAGAGAACAGATATCATGTCTGTTGACGTCGGCTGCAAAGATGAAAAAGTGATGTACACTGTGGTCCAAATGAGAATATTTTTCACAGCTTTTGCAGTTGATCTTGTAGATGATGTTGCCTCATTTGGCTTATGTATTACTATTATCGTTATTATTAGTATTCCTTTGGGTTCTGAGTGGAACATACGACTTCAACAGCACATTCCCTGTTCTCTGGTGTCCTCTTTAGCTATCCCCACGACTGTCCCTGGCCTCCTCCCCGCAAGATCTCCATGTCATCTTGGGGTTCCACTCGAGTGACGGCCTGGCTGGTCCATGATTTCCCAGTAGTCTCCTCAGCGTGTGTCCGATCCATCTCCATTTTCTTTTTCATATTTTTTAAGCAATAGGTTCTCGCCTGTTGTTTCTTTCCCAGAGTTTCTTTTCGCCGATTCTCCCTAGTCAGCCACTGGATCTTCAGTATTGAGACAGAGAAGGCAATTGTTGATAAAAGTCTTCAGCTGGCTGTTGGGATTGCTTTTCTTGAATCACCAAGTTTGCTACTCACTTAGAAGAACTGACTGACTCAACCATTGTTGTTGAGAATCTGAATTTTGTTCTTTATACTGGTCTGGTGATGATGATTCCCTCCAAACTGATTTTGGAGTAGTGGAGGAGTCCTTTTCCTTCCCAATTCTAGCTGGTTTTCACATCGTCATCCGTGCTGTCGCCTGTAGTTGAAACGATACTTCCTTTGATAGTGGTTGGTGCTATTTGTTGTTGTTTGTTGGTTAGTTGTAATCATCACCTAACTCCGTCTTCTCTTTGTTCATCGGAAGTCGCGTCTTTGCCGGTTCTTCTGTCCACGTCCTAATTCCTGTTTTCGCTTTGACCAATGCCATTCAGGTTCAGGAGGCTTCATCCCATGACGTGTCGCTGTGAGATGATAGTTGTGTTGAGTGCTCATCTCTCGGAGCATCAGGATTCCCTGGGTACGGGGCTGAAGAGAATCCTAATCACTATATCTCGAGATGTCACCAGTTATGTTTCATGATCGTTATTCAGTAGTGATGATGTTGTAACTACCTGCTTTAGTTTGTTTGTTTGTTTGATTAGTTTACTTACCTGTTTTTTCTTATGAGATCCTGATCTTCAGTCATTCTCCTAACTTGTTGGTGACCACATTGTATGCAGGTTGTGTTTAGCTGTGACATTTTTTTGTATACTTCTGTCCACCACAGAACATGTGTGTGTGTAATGACACGCTTGTCACTTGTGGGAAATGATTTCATTTCTAAGTGTTGATTTGCAGGGATCTGACTGATCTCAGGTTTTCAATCACGAACCGACCATTGAAAACTACCAGAGAGTACTGAACCGCTGTATATCTCATAGTAAAATAGAGCGTGGCAAGTTCAGCTGTATAGAGTCCTACAATGGAACTCATCACTTAGTCAGTGTGTCTATAACGACAACAGTGTCAGCTACATGTGTTTAATATGATGCTTTCTTTTTCTAATTCCATTTTCGGACGTCTTAGTCAAGCGAAAAACCATAGGAAAATTAGAAAATGAAGTTTATAGAAAATCAGCTTACAATAACCAAATACTCACTTAAAACAGCGACAATCCAATAACACACACAAGGAATTGTATGCAAATACTATTCAAGGGAGACAGCTAGGACTCATTGCAGCACTCCTACCTACCTCAAGGAAAATTGAAGAAAGATATCTCATGAATGCCTTCCAAAAGAATGAATATCCAGAGAATTTCATCAAAAGACATATACCTCCAAGCCAACCTATCAAATCAAAGACCCCCAAGGAAAGAACAAAGAAAATCGCCCTACCATATATTGACATCGTACGGAAACCAACAAAATCACTTCACTCAACTCTGTGTCAACCGAAAGACTCAACAGCGAGAGTAGATAACACCAACAGCAATGACTGTGAAAAACACTACATTGGCCAAAGCGGATGTCCCCTTCGTCTTTGTATCCAAAAAGACATGACATCCATTCCATCACTCATATCGCTGCATACAGGCAACCACGGACATCAATTCTACTGCGACGACGTTCAAATATTAGACACAGGAAACATCATAAATGCTAGAGAATTTTTAGAAGCCTACATGGTATTCCAGTGAACCGTCACTCAATAAACACGTTGATGATATAGACAAAATCTACTAGTCGATAAAGAAGGATATCTCATACGCAAAGGGTCATAGTTCAAGTCAAGGAAACAATCAGTACCAACACAAGTAGCCTAGAGCGTGTGAAAACACACGAAAATAACCAATCACTCTCAAGGTTACCAGGTATTATTATTATTTCCTTTAATTCCTAAAGGAACATAGGGCTTCAGCCGTGCGTCTCCATTGCGTTCTGTTCTCTGCTTGAGTTTTCACCTGTCTCCAAGTCTGCCCACATGCTTTCATCTCCTCTTCACATGACCTCCTCCAAGTCAACCTTGCACTGACGACCAACTCGCCGCTCCCCTTTCGGTTTCCACTCGAGTAATGGCTTGTCTAGTGATGTTACTTGATGGTTTCCTCAGAGTGTGGCCAATCCATCTCCATTTCTTCCTGTTAAACAATCGGTTCCTGGTTGGTTCGCTCCCAGAGATCTCTGTTGCTGATATTTTCCGGCTGGCCATTTGATCTTGGGTATTCTGCGAAGACAACTGTTAATGAAGGTCTGTAGTTTGTTTGAGATGCTCTTCATGACGCGCCAAGTCTCTGATCCGTATAGTAAGTAGCACTGACTTCACATTGGAGTTGAAAATCCGGATCTTATTTTTGATGCTGAGTGCTGTTGATCTACACACAAACTTGAGAGTAAAGAAAGCTCCTCTTGCTTTCTCGATTCTTGCTTTGATATCTTCGTCAGTTTCGCCTGTATTTGAAACGATGCTTCCCAGGTAGGTAGGTAGGTAGGTAGGTGAAGGAGGTTGCTTCTTTCAGATTTCTCCCGTTATCTTGGCTGATTGTTGCTGTTGCTTTTGGCCAGGGATCTTCATCACCCACCTCTTTTTCCTCTATGTTCACCTGAAGTCCTATCTTTGATGCTTTTTCTGACAACGTGTTGTCACCAGCAGAGGTGACTTGTAGACTCATGGAGAAATCTAAAAGCTCACTTCATCAAATTGAAGTGTATGCGCTGAAGATGTTGCCTAGTGTTGGGGCAATAAAAGCTTCACAAATAAACCATGCGCCTAGCTCAGAGAACACAACTACATCAAAAAGTGTGTTCAATATGATATTCAGTACCTTTTTCCAATTAAACATACATTTTTATTCCATATTTCTATTTGTTGTTTTCTTTTCTGATTGTTCAGACGATTAGAGCACAGATAGCAAGTCAAAAACCTGTCGACAATGATGATCTCCCTAGTTTCGATTTACCAATGGATGAAGACATACTTCAAGAGTATGCCAATTCAGATAACAGTGATGATGCTGAAAGTGATGACGATGATGATGATAGTGACAATAATGAAAACCGCTCATCGCCATCATCATCATCATCATCTGATAGTGACGGTGATAATGACTCATCAGCTGTAGAAAAACAATCCTCCAAGCGTAAATTGCCTAAACCTCCGGCCAGCTTCAAGTTGAAAACATCTGGGGAGGCTGGGATAGCAGCTGCACGTAAAACATGGAAGTGCATTGCAAAGCTGAATCAACAACAGAAGAAGGAGCAAGCTGAGTTGAAAGAGACGCATCGTGTTAATAAATCAATTGGATGGGGTGTTACATTTACAAATAAGGATAACGATGAAGCAGTGAACGATAATCACAATATGCATAACGATGAAATGAGCGATGATGAAGATGACAATGAGGCGGTTCGTTATGAACAGCCAATCAAGACAAAATATGCTAAATTTTTGATTGCACACTAGTCAGTAACTAGTGTAATGTGTCTAGTCCTATTTTCGGTGCAGACTGAATTCTATCAGTCATGTTTGCAATGTGGCCACCATGCTAGGTGGCTCGACATTACGGTGCACTGTGAATTGTTGGTATTAGATGGTTGGAGGCAATCGGCAGGAAGCCTTGCCGATTGCCTCCAACCATCTAATACCAAAAATATGCTAAAATTCAAGCATCTAAAAAAGCAAAGAAGAATAAACAGAATAAGAAATTCTATGCATAAATTAAAATTATGGTGCTTCTTTTTCTGGCTGTATATAATTTTCATTTTGTTTACCTAAATAAATGCCTTCTTATTTTGTCAAAATAGGTCACATTTTTCGCTTCTCTATACGTTTCGCCTGGGCTTCAACGTCCCAGTAGTAGTGGTGTTGTTTCTATGGCGTGGAGCTGCTAGCTTCACGCTCAAACTCTCTCCTCTTTACTAGGCTTCTTGCTAGCAGTTAAGTGATGTTTGAGGGAATCTCAAGGCCAGGCTAGTATTCTACCGTTGAACCACTGGCGCATGTCTACATAGGTTAAGTAAGAGGAAACCAAGCAAGTTGTCAGTCATTTATACTTCGGAACCAATAATCAGTTAGCACTAGTCATGACTCACCTTATTGTATATGTTTAGTGTATATGAGATGTCTCAGGTTTCGATATATTCAGTTGCGCAATATAGCGCTTGACGCCACGGTCAATAATCTTATCATCGTAACAATAGAGTTTCCCCACTCAAGTTTATGTCATAACTTGCGAAATTGGGTTCAGCTGGCAGTCGTATTGCAACGTCAGAAGACAAGGGCCAGGCAACAGATCTTTTATTGAGAAAATCAAGAGATATTTATAGATTTTTTATGTTAAATCATTCCTCGTTAATGTATCAGAGAAGCAACTTCTTTTGATGGGTTGTTTTCTTGCTGAAGGTTATTCTGTACTGCTTGTGACCGTCTCTCAGGAAGTTAAGCCATATATCTGCGAATCGTGTTTGGACACTTTGAGTCTGCTGTGATTGGTTGGTGAGTTTCTCAAGGCTAGGCCTAGTTATTGTTTTTCTCGGGACCCCGATTCGGGACGTAAACATAGGTGTAAATTGCTGTCTACAATTTTGGCCCGCAACCAGCTTTTACCATAATATTTTTTTATTCCTTCACCTTCCTAGTGGAACATAGAGCTTCAAGCTAAGGGCTTGAAGTTTCTGTAGCAGCGTTTATTTTTACAGGATGGGGTTGCTAGCCACCTCATGCCCAACCTTTCCTCTTTACCAGCTTTTATTTCTGGCTTAGTGAGGTAAAGGAGTGCGTCGGCCGGGGATCGAACCTCGGACCATGTGCATGGTTGGCGAGTGTCCTTACCGCTGTGCTACCGACGCTTCACCATAATATAAGTCGCTATTATTTAATCAGTCTGTTCCAAATTTTTCTGCAGTCGAGTAAGTAATTCTGTACGTGTCCACGCAAGACTAGACACTTATATGCGTTACGTCATTGGCTTTTTATGTGGAGAACGACACAGCACAATTATTACTCAGTAAAGTAGATCCAGAAGCAAGTTACCAGTGCACAGATTTTCAGAGAAATACTGTTTCGATGTTCATGGGCATCCTTCTTACCTAGTACCCATGGATTCTAGAAGAAAACCACCCTTCATTCCGTAGTGATGTATTGAAATCTAGTGGTTGTCCTATCTATAATACCGCCTAAGGTGATTAATTCAGAAGTCACAGAAGTGTTATGGTTGACTTTAAAGTGACTCAGACGTTTCTTATTCTTTTACACAAAGGATTTGGTAAAGTGTGATTCGTTCTCTTGAGCTAGCTTATCTAATGAAGACTCAGACAATATATTAGCTACTTTGGTACTGATGTTCAAAAGTATTTTATGTACCGAAACTTGCCAACATAGCATCTATTTTTACAATTCCATAACGGCATTACTCATATGAACCCGGTATGGTACTTCTCCTCATCAACCATCAGTCACAAATTTGTATTGATCCGTCAGGGAAAAGGCAAGGTCCACTCAATGCATAGACCAGCTCTGCAAACAACTTTGTTAAGATTCGTGGTACTAGATCTTAACTATATTTTTGAAATATTTTATATCTGTTATTTGAATTTCCCTCAGACTTGAAGTTTCATGTTGTAACACATTGGTTAGCCTGACTTTAAAGTGTTCCGCTGTGACTAGTGTTTGCGGCATCACACATTTATTGCTGATTTAAAATATTCTGTGTATATAAACACATACATAATTGTAGAGCCTGGAAGAGGAATTTATCGAAAAGAATATTCTTTGCTCGATTATTTTGTGTTTTTTATAGATGTCTGAATGAATATTTTTGCAATATTTCAAAGAGACTCACACATTATTTTTCGAATCGTGTATTTCCGAAAGTTGGATTGAGAGGTACTGTAATTACAAGTATGTCATAGCAACAGTCACACAAAAAGTACCAGGGACCAATTATTTGCTGAAACAGTGGGCAGATTTGTGAGCGGTTATCAGCATGACGAAGCCTGATTGACAAGCTCTCGAGCTAATGTGTGACAGACATTAAGATATGCATATTTAGTAGCGGTATCTAATCATCCCAAGAGACGCCCTATGAAACACTGAATGCCATGAGGATCTGGAACAACTCAGCGTCGGACGGAAGGCACTTACACCAACAGCTGACAATATATGTGTGGTGAGAGCTGTCTACTAGCCAAATTTGTAGACAGTAATTTACGTCAATATTTACGTTCCCAAGATTTGTGGTGAGAAAATGTGAACAAAAGATTGATTCAAAACCGACCACAGCATACTTTGCGTGGGCGGATGCAGTTAACATATAGAGTATTTGAAATTCAAGAAACAGTCACAAATAGATGAAAGATTAACTTTACGTGAGAAACAACCAATCGGAAGACTGTGTTTGTTTGCTTAAATATCCATAGTTATGTACATGGAAACATATATAAATATGCGTTGGTTTCCTTAATAAATGATCTGTTGCCTGACTCTTGTCCTCTGTCGTTACATATGTACCCTAGTGGCGAAGATCCAATGGCGTTATCATCAGCTTGATAGATTGCCTACTGGTTGTCTACCTATGCTAATTGAGTGCGTGTACATCGCTTCGTTTATGCTTGTCCGTTGGATCTGCTATATCGCTTGCATCTTATCCAGTGCCCCTTGCATCTGGAAAAGAAAACAAAAGTGCTGAGAAACTTGTCGAGGAAAATGTACCAAAAATAACGTTTGGATGATAGTATACATCTGCCATACAGAAAAATAATGCGAAAAATTGAACATCGGAAAAACATAGTTTTTCTCAGTGTACGGTTATAAAATGTGTGACTTATGATGCGGGATGCAATGAAAAAAATATGTTCCACAAACGAATAAAAATTGTATGAGTCGCACCATTTTGTTATGTGAGATAAGTGTGAAAATGTCCTGGGAATCTCACAGTTCGTTCAGAACGCGTTTTTTAGAGCTCGACAGAAGGTTAGGTGGCTTTCAACGTGCTAGTGACTTCTTTGAGGACCAACAAATATTCGGTTACTTGTGAATTATTGCGAATGCTTAGTTTTAGGCTGATGGGATTAACTTCCAGGTAGGCCCAATTCAAATGGTCGATGCTAACAGAGTCTTTGCGACCCTTTCTGTCTAGGTCAAAAAATTATCCACACATTTAATAACTTTTTGTGGTCCGTCGTACAGGGGTTCTGGAGGGCGACGCACAGAGTGACCACGAACAAATACATGTGAAGAAGTTTTCAAACACGGGTGAACAAAGACGTCTATAGACTGTAGTCGGAGGGGAGCAGGTTTAACTGAACGCATTACGTTTGTAAGCCTACTGACATATGAGGCATGATCTACCGCTTGTGGGAAGTTAGAGGAAGAAACGAACTCACCTGGCAGTTGTAGTTTTGCGCCGTATAGTAGCTCGGCATCAGTAAAACCAGCATCAGTTTTCAAGGCATTTTGTATGCCTAGAAGAACAAACGGTAGTGATTCAGTGCAACGTACCTTGTTTGCTGCTGATAGCCCAGCTTTCAGCTGCCAATGTAGACGTTTTACCATGCCATTAGTTTGATGATAGTGGGCCATCGTTCTAAAATGCATACAACCAAGGATTTTAGTCAAGGCGTAGAATAAGTCGCTTCTGAATTGCCCCACGCGATCAGCTGCTTTGGAGGATGAGCATCCGTAACTTTCGACAAAGTCGTGTGCGACTACTTCAGCAGATATGTCATTGAGGGGCACTGCTTCCGGCTCCCGCATAAAAGATATAAGTATATCCATGAGATTCTGGTAGGGGTCCAACCAGGTCTATATGGACGTGTCCGAATGGAGCATCTGGGATAAGAAAGTTGCAAAGAATGTTTCTGGTGTGTCTTATTGCCTTGCACCTTTGGCAAGCTAGGTACGTATGAGCCCATTCTTCTACTTCTTCATTAATACCAGGTGAAAATACCGGCTTGTAATGAGCTTGATGGTAGTTTGAATACCCAGGTAGGATAAGCCATGCAACCTTTTGAAGACGTTACGGCGATAGCTTTCATGCACGAAAATGCAAGGGGTTTTCGTGTAAACTTCCCATGGAAGAGTGTCTCTAACCATGCCTAGAATTTTCTCGGCTAATTGCAGAGTTGTTATCCACAACTCGTGTTGGAGCTCGACATCTTTTGAGGACAAGCTAGTTTTACAAGGTCCAGTATCCAATATCGTTTTTGAGAGCTGGCTTAAACCAATTTGATTTCTCTGTACTCGCTTTTTGATTGGGACGTAAAGGTTGTTGGTCTTCGGTAAACTTTTGCGTAGTTCGTCCCGCCGCTTGGCTGCCGTAGCTTTGATTGACTTCAAAAGGAGTAGTGCTGGGACTGACTATATGTTGTTTGTAGTATGCGGCGTGTTAAGACTTTGTTGCTACTGTGAATGGAGTTGATCCTTTCACCAGTTAGTCCTCCAATATCGTCGTCAAAGGAAAAGAG